TCTGACTGAGAACAGCTGGAAACGATGCAAGTGCCTGCGAAGAGTGCCGTACCAAAAGCGCAGAGCCCCCCCAAGAAGGGAAGGAGATAGAAGCGAGCCGAGTATGGAGCAAAAGCCCAATGCGAGATTGCGCGATTGAACCTGCCGAGGAGCGAGCATTTCCTCAGCAGGTGACTGTACACGGGCCTCTTGCCTTCTGAGCATTAGCATGCTCTTCCACTGGGCAACCTGAGAGCGAGAACCTTTGGCAGCGGGAATTCGGATCATGCGATTGGCCACACATCTGCCGTGCTTTGCTCGGGGCTTTGTTCAGGCATCTGGCCGGCTGTCCGTGTGAGCAGTGCTTCTTCTTTTTGTTGCTTTTTGTTCGCCGGCGAGATAGGTGGCCAGCAGTTTAAAACAATTTCTCAATTCACCAGTTGGCATTTATGCCCCCAAGCCTCTGCTCTCTTTGGGATTCATGGCTGAAACTTCGGCAAGGGGGCATTTAGACAATATAAGCATTGAAGACCAGAAACGTGTGTTCACAAGACGTTCAGGTCTGAGGCATCACCTGCGTCCAAGCACTCAGGCCAAGCTCAGTGCAAAACCAGCCTGGAGACGGCAAACCCAACGAAATCCAACGAAACAAAACCCAAACCACAGGTGAGCCTCTGCCCTGGGCGGTGCAAGCTGAGAGTAAGGCTACACACAATGGCGGCCCGCCATATGCGAGAAAAACTGCGCTCCTGTGTTCGTGCTACCCTGCAAAAGGGGCAGCAAGAACGCTTCAAGGGAAAGAATTACAAGCCCCTGGGGACGTGCCAAAACCATTCATGTATTCCCTATCAGGGGGGACCGATCTATAGGAATTATCTTGTGCACTGAAGGGGGGGCGTAGATGTTTGGAGCATGTACCCAGAGGCACATAGGACTTTTCCTCGAAGCCTGTAGAGCGGCTTGTATTGCCCGAAAGGGGCGCCTTTCGAAGGGGAGTATGCCCTTGCAATGAGCGTATAGAATAGGATGGTCGGAACCCAAACTGGGGTTGCACATAGCGGGCTCACGTGACATGTTTGCGCAACGCGGGTGTGTCTGAAATGAAGACCCCGGCAGCACCGAAGCGAGCACCTCCGCCTTTTGGGTGTGTCTTCAAGGAAAACCCAAGGAGCATCACCGCGTTCGGGGTTCTATATTGGGCCAGCCTCTTGGGCACAAGATTATCGACGTTTTTGGAGAGCACGACTCGAGGTTCTGGAGGTGCTGCCTCTGCTGCCAAAAAGAAAATCGGCCTAGCGCCGGATTTGAAGCGGCCCAGATGTCAGTGTGCTCCAGCTCCTGCACTCCAATCCATGTCTGGGCGGTGCATTGAGCCTGACCCCCTAATTCACTCTGGTATGCCTCTTCCTTTTTTTTGCAGGGTACCCTTTCCAGATCTGGTTTCAAGGGAAATCAAAACCATTTTTTGTAGTGTGACATGTAACCAATTAACTTTTGCGGAGGGGGTGAAGTCCGCCAGTTGGGCAGTTGGGCACCCTGTCTGCGTGCTGCTTTTCACAGGGAAACCGTCAAACTCCCTGCTCAAAGCGCTGCCCAATGAGACGGAGTCACGGAGTGCTGGCCCCTGCCAGTTCGTGCACAAGTCGCTTCCGCAAGAGGCTGCTCGGTGCAAGGCCTGGCAAGCCGAATTATCCCTAAACCCACGTCATACAGGAGTGCAGGGTAAAACACAAACTGAATGCGCCAATCAGCGGCTGCTCGCGGGCACTTGTGAGAACTGACGCAGCCAGGTTGCTGAGTTTCTCTTCGCTACAGTTCTCAAACAAAACAAAATTCTAATTAACTAAATTCCATCCCAACTCCCAACGCAGCAACCCAGCCGCATCCCGAAAGCCTCCAACCTGAGCTTTTAGGCTGGCTGCAAGGGAACATCATCCCCCGTTGCTGGGCTACCAAATGCCGTGCGTATGCTCTGGAACTGGTCTGCTAGATGCTACGTGTCTGGTCTGACGTGGCTTGCGAGCATCGTCGCAATGGGGGGTCACAACGAACCCGACTGATGCATTCGCCATGGAAGAAAGTGTGAACCCGACCTCTCAGCACTCTCAGCTCACTCTTGGATTGCCTGCGGCATGGCAGGGGGGCAGCTCATGCACGCGCACAGCTCCTTTACACACTTACATCTTACACACTTACGCAATTACACACGCACGCACTCAATCACACTCACTTACACACCCTAAAGACACTTACACTTACACTTACAAACGCGCAAATGCACTCAAAGGATGGATTGGATGGAAATGAGGGTTCTTTGGGCTGGGCGGACATGTCGCCAACGCAGCACCGATGCCTGGGCAAGCTAACTGAAAGCCAAGATGAGAACACTGGGCAATTACGACAAAAACAACGGTTCGCTTTTCAAACACAAATCGTTTTACACTTACACGTGCGCATATGCTCACGCTTCCAATTTGAAATGCGCTCACGCACACACTCACGCCCGAGCAATTGACAAATGATGATGTGGCCTGCCACAGGCAACGCGGGCACTCACAGCATCTCACAGCCAAAGCACAGTCTCGCACTGTCTTCAACTGATTGGAAATTGGAACATCCCGGGGGTTGGATTGATTCTTCCCCAGCTTCATGCGTCCAGTCTTCCAAAGAAAAAAATCACTATCCCCCACCCCTAGTTCAATCAACCCTTCTAATTGAGCGATGGGGAATGATGGGGACTTTGGAGCTTTGTCGGCGCTTCTGGGTCTCAAATAGGGGGTTCTGGAAAAAATAAGCAACTACCCTTTTTGCGACCTTCTGGGAAAATGAACCATTGCGGTCGATTTACCCAGGCTCAAAGAAACTACCCCTCCCCCCCCCCGCCCCGCACGCCATCAGCTAAAAGAGGGAAACGGAAAACCGTTTGAAATCTCCGCCCTGCTGCCCGGAGCTTTGGAGCTTTGGGCGTCCCCGAAACTCCCGTTTCAAACGCTTCGAAGTAACATGGCAACCCAAAAGCAAGGCTTAAGCCGCAAAAGTTGAACATGAGGACCCTTCACAGCCCAGCAGTGGTTAAGGAAATGCAATTCAGGGCATGGGGGGGAGCAGGTCAAAGAAAACAAGGCAGCGCCGCGCCCCAAGCTGGGATGAATCAATGTTGGCACTCCAGTGAAAACATCAGCTTCCCAAATTCATGCAGGTGTTTGTTCTTTCAACAAAGACGGGGTTGTCTTGAAATAGGACCAACCAAAATGCTTGGTTGTACTTCGGGATTCTGTTAACATTAAAAGCCAAGCCAAAACAGGTACCCGCCCCGTGCGAAAATCCCAGCCCTGGGCCCTTTCCTCGGTGGCCCTAGCGCGCCTCTAGGGTTCGCATGGTTGCTGTCCGCCCGAGCCGTCCACAGCGCCCAAGGCAGGCCATCTTGACCCAGCCCTCCTGTCGAAGCGAGGGGGAGCAACTGGCGTGATAGGTAGGGAATGAAAAATGGAATGCACCCAGGGGTCCCCTTAAAGGAAACCACAATGGTGTTTGTTTGTTTGTTTGCTGCTTTTGTTCGTTGCTTTTGTTTTCTTTGTCTTTGTTTGATTCGATGAGGGGAGCTTCTAGTGAGTGAGGCGACTGCAAAGGCGGACGACACTTCTGGACTCCCCATATTTCTCCTTAAACCATCACCCTTACCAAGTATAGGGAGGCCTGAGTAAAGTGAGTGAGGGGAGTGCAAAGGTGGCACCTGTTTTCCCAGCAAGAAAACCAAGTCCTTACAGAACTCCAGAAACCCTCCTTAACGGCTTCAACATCAAATTCTGATACTCCCAGCTCCGTAACGGCTCCCTTCCAACCACCAGCTAGTAAGGGGGATGACTCAACCCCATCTACTTTCACTCAATCAGAGGAATATTGTGAGGGCATGTATTTAGCGCCTAGCAAAGCAAATCAAGGGTTCTGTGGGCTGGCAAGTCAAGGGGGGCCCGAGGTCCATGCAACGACTCTTGAAGGAAACCACGGGCGACCAGTAGGCAAGTGCAAGGGTTATTAAAACCAACACGAGGGAACTGTGCGACATATATGTAATGAAACACAATCATGAGTCGACAAGAACAAAACAGGGTTTCCCTCCCAGCCCCCAACTCACACAAGGGCAGAACACCTGCTTTTAATGAAAGGAAACAAACGCTGTTCACCAACTTTCTACCAGATGATTTGATCTTCTTTTGGCGGGCCACAGCAACCCTGTAAAAGGTTGGTTCTAAGATGGGGGGAGGGGAGAATTGGTTGTGTCGGTTTGCCGCTTGAGGTTGGGGGTGGGACCAGCACACCCCAAAAGGGCTGCTGCATGCTCCGTTTGTCAGGACATGGGATGGCACATGCGGCATCTCGCTAGCCTTCTCTGCCAGGAAATGGCATGAGAAAGCAATCTGATTGTCGCCCGCGCTGTTTGACATGCTGAGATGAGCTTCTCACCTCCTGCCACGTACAACAGCTCAAAGGTAGATGGGAGAGCAGCCATCAAAACTGCTGCAAATACAAAACGTGAAGATGTCAACGTGGCAGCACGAGACAGCTATTAACGCTGTGCATGGATGCAGTCACATGACGAAGCAGTATGACGTGGATGCACTCACAGGAAGGCATTACGAACCAGTAGGATGTGGATGCAATACGCCACGAGGCAGTGGGGCGGGTGTGCTCATTGACTACGTACGTGGATGCAGCCACGCCACATGACATGGCAGTAGGACGGGTGTGCTATTTATGCCGTGCGGACCCTCTCACACGCCGGGTGGGCGCATTTGACACCACAACGCAGCAGAACTAGTGTGTTTAGTACACCGTGCATGGATGCAGTCGCACAACGAGGCCGTAGGGGGTGAGCTCATTCTACCCCCAAGCCTCGCCGCACAACTGGCAGAATGATGCTAAACGGTCTGAAATGCATTCCAAGGGTTTGCCCACCAGCAGAGTATGCCCCGACATCACTCGAATGCCGGCTGTAGACCCTTTGTATTCCTTTGTGTTTCTCAGACCAGGAAGCTTGCCTCCTCATACATTGAGCGAAAGGACTATGCCATTCGGCATCCCCTTTTGAGAACCCCACCCGGCCGTATCTCCAACAGCTACCTGGTTGGGGGTTGTTCCTCTCTGGGGGTTCCCGGTCTCGCGTGCTCCTTGTCGAACGCCGAGAGCTTTTGCAACGCCGCCCTGGCGGCTTTCTCGACTGCCTGGTTCCCAGGGTACCTGGCAAGCGCAAGGGGCAAGGAGAATCCGACATCGGGGCCCGGAGACCCTCCCACCAATCAACGTGGAACCTGACAAAGGTTCCCTTAAAAGGAACATGGTCTTGCAAGACCTCCTGCCAGGTTCCATGTTGATTGGTGGGAGGGCAAATGGAACAGAATGTCAGCGCCGCTTTTCCTTTAATGGACATTTGCATTTATATTTATCACTGAGGTTACCCGACCAGGGTTGTGGGAATTGTTCACTTTGCCAATGGAAGGCCCTCCAAATGAGTGTTTCTCAAAATGGTCCCGTATTTGAAGGGAAGCCACAAGGAAACCAACATAAGCCGATCACTTTGGGAGACAGCTAGTTCTCCAAAGGGGCCAACCAACCCCTTCCCACAGACGTTCCGGTTAGAGTGTGGATTCACAAGCCGGATTTCTTACGTTAGGGAACCTGCTGAAAGGACCCTTAGTTTGGAGGTTGCAAGCCCACGAAATGTCACGTCGCTATTGAACATTTACCCATGCGGACCGGGACCCGTATCCGTTGAGGGATCAAACCCAAGTGTGGGCCATGGTGGTCTTGGGGACCTTTAAATATCATGTCCTTACAGAACTCCTTGAAGCTCCTTGGCTCCCTCTACGGGAAATTGGGCCACCCCTAGCTCCGCAACGGCCACCTGCCAACCTCCAGTGAAGAGGTTCACTTATGTTCACTTTTCTGGGCTGGGTCCCGAAAACTTCATCCGGCTCGCGAGCTCCTTCTCCAGTCAGGCGGCTTTTCCACTGCCTTCAGGGCCGCTTGGATGGCGGCGGAGAAGGTGGCCCGATCTTTGCAACTCGCAATGTGCTCGGCCAGCTCCTAGCTCTCATCGAACCCCGTTTGTGTATTTGTTTTCCGCATTGGTTTGGGCAACAAAAAAGAAGTGCGAGGACAAGAGGACACATCAGGATGGCCCACAGCTTGCTCTTTCTGAAACCTCCATCTTGAAATGCCGTGAACTCGGGTGGGTCTGGGACTACCCCTGTTCAAGTCGGCAATGCTTGGGATGATTCCGACTGGGCCCCCTGTTCATTTGCATGGGCAAATTACTAGTGCCAAAGCTGACATGACCATGTTTCTTGTCGCAGTGCTCGTTGGGGTGGTGCAACTTCCGAGGGCAGGGGTGCTGCAATGCACGCGTCGGCACGCACATGGCCGGGATCCAACTCCCTTCCCTGGCCTTCCAGGCTAGACCCGTTTGCGCCAGGTAGAAACAAAGGGGTGTCACGACTGCCTGTGCGGATCACCGCCGAGTCGGAAATACCTACAGAATCAGTCATGTTTGGCACACATTTCGAAAGAGATCCGCATGGCTTGCTACTGGTTTGATGAATGACGGGCCTTCAGCAGCCAGCAGCCGGCTTCCTGCACTCGCGTCTCACGGTGTGCTTCAAGCGCCTGTCAAGGGCGCGGCTCGTTTCCCGGGGCACATGGGGATTGAACAAGTGAACCTGGCTTACTCACTTGGTGGATTGACCAACAGAAAGTCGAAGATAGTTGAGTGTCACCAAAATGGGGGGGGTCCGTTTAAACTTCTACTTAGGTTCCAGCCACCTAACAATAAGTGCCACCACTGATAAAAACCATGTTTCCAAACTGCAAAAAGACAGATTAGGGAATACAAAGTGTAGAGTGGCCGATCTTAAACCAAGAACAAACACACAACCACTGCTACACTAATGCACAAATCCCAAATCATGTCGCTGATTTCTGCGTTTAAACTCCTGCCTCAGAAAATGTGCGGTTTGAACGTTCTGGGGCCCGGAAAGGGACGCGCGCCGAAGTGGACCGAATACAAAGCATGTTTCTTCTTGCTGTGTGTTTTGTATTCGCGACGGGAAGTCCCAAATATATATATATATATATATACATATATATATATGAGGGGGACGTGATTGCAACTAAAACTTGATCCACATCGTAACGCAGAAACTCATATGTTCTATTCTATCATATTTAGTCACCCTAAGTTAATTATAACCTAGTTTTGGAGGAGACCCACCTAAACGAATCACCTCCAAAGTTATCAAGAATCACACCCAAATGAAGACAACCACCGAAAGTACAAAAGATTGAAAGTGAACCACAACCGGGAGCCTTGAGCGCTGCTCGGGCCGCGCCATAAGCGAAGACCTCTGATCTCATCTCCGCATTGTGCACGCAGAGGCAGAACCTACCAGCGGTGAGTTCCGGTGGTAATCTGGGAAGCCTTGTCGTAGGGAACGCACGGAAATCACCAAAGGACACCGACACCCTCCCAATTGAGACAAACCGAATTGGAATCTTCGGGCTGGCTCATATGGCTTGAACAAATCGGGGGATTGTGAATGAGCGGCCCTGATTCATTAGGATGAGCAGTTCATGGGTTGAATACTTCGCGCTGGCTCCTTTCTGGCACCCACTGTAAGCCAAAAACATGAGAACCTCCGGACCCCTTTTGCTCCACGGACGGTAGGGTATAAGTGCATTTAATCCCCAAGTCAGAAAGAATGCCAGGGCTCGCCATTTGAAGGACGCCTGCACTCTTATCTTACTTATCTTCCCATCATTCGCATCAGGGGTTTTCAGTTCAAGGATCTTTTGGCTCTCCAGCCCGTTGGATTTCACAACCAAAATGGTACCCTCACAAAAGTCACACCCATACCATCCAATTCGAAAATAGCAGCCCCGCCCCCAATGCTGCAGGTGGCCAGCTCTTTCTTCCAACGTGTCAGGTAACCCTGGTGGCTTGGGGAGAAACCACCCCCTAGACTAAAAAACCACCAAACAAAAACAAGCAAAAGGAAGCCAAATGTGCGCATGGCAACACAAATGATGCTTTTTGTGATGCCTGAACAGGCCACCCCCTGCAACTACTCATGTTGAAGGGGTACCCTTGGAATAACAGAAAATGACAGTGAAATCCCATGCCGCAACCGTCAATGGGAAACCAACGCGGCTTGCCCAGAGCGGCGTTTAGGAGTCCATGTGAGTCGTAACCATCAAAACCTGGCAATTGCTAAATTGGTCTACCCAAAACTCTGTAAAGGATCAAGAGGGCGGCCAAAATGTGGATTGTTCATAACACTCACTCCATGGCCCCGTGCGCTGTCAAAATGATACATTAGATGCTGCAGATTGGACCGTAAGCACAGGAGAAACGCTACAGGCAAGTCACTCAAACTGTGTGGCAGGCAAATCAGTAGATGGTTATGTGTCAAAATAGAGGGACCCAAAAGGAGTGGGCTTCTTTTTAATTTGCTAGAAAAGGCACCCTCAAAAACACAAGCACACATGCAAATAAGCCTGCTGCAAATGCAAAAAAACCACTCTGAGGGGCAAGGTCCAGCATCCAGCCCACTGCATCAGCGAGTGGTCCATGTGCATCTTCATTGCGTCGAGGACGACCTGGTCAGCGCTTCCATTAGCCCCCCGCCAATCAAGTTGAAGGAGTGTCAAACATGGGGAGAAAAGCATAAGCTCAGGTGACATCCCCAACAGCATGCGGTGTTCTTTTTAGTGCTCGCACCACCCCGCAGCCCTCGTAGAACCTCGGGGAACCCTCGTGGAACCCTGGTGGAACCCTGGTGGAACCCTCGTGCAGGGCCGCTCCGGACCACCCCGGAGCCTATCTGGGCTGAGACCCCAAAGCTTTCAGCTGTTGGGGAAAAACAAACACCTCCCCAAAGACTTGCGTGTACCCAGCTGCGCTTCATTCCCTGGCTGAGCTTTCAAAAACAGGAGGCCCCCAACCCGAACCTCAGTCTGGACGGCATGCCGCCAGCAGCTTAGCTGAAGTGCTGTGCTTGAGCAAAAGGGTTTCTAGACCTTTTGCAGGTTTCATAGGAAAACCATTTGGTTCTAGAAGGTGTCCTTCTGGGCGATTCGGTCACACCAAAGCCATGGGTAAGGTTGTCTCGAAAAAACACTTGGAACCCCTCCAAGAATCGCGCAACACCCCCGAAATTGACATAGAGTCCTAAAGGGACCAATTGGTTCAAGATGGCGGAATATTATTTTGACTTTGGTAGCCTCTTAGACTCTTTCTGGATTGAACAGCCAAAAAGCCTCCGCAAACTGCAGTTTTTAAGGGTTCCCTCGCAAAGGGATTTGACAACTTATCTCTAGATTTTTTTGAGACTACTCGGCATTCTTCGGCCGCTATGAGTCATTGCCCCTTGGTCCTGGTTCCTTGACTTTTTGCTTTGCTTGTTTGTTGCTTGTTGGTTCTACAGGGGCCCCCTGCCTAAAAATCAGGCTGGCCGATGTCTGCTTCCGCCCGTGCCTGGACCCCTCCGCGAGACACGACAGCTTGCTGCTGCTGGGAGTTGCAGGCTGCGAGATTCCGCAGCACGCCGCAACCCATGACCTCGGCTCTCGGTGCCTTGGGGGCCTCAAATTTGGTCAAGAGACTTGCGCCAACATGTTCTTTGCAGGGGACATGAGGGAAACCCAGGACCAAAAATTGAAGAGGCAAGCTAAAGCCAAGTTTGGCCATGTAGTCTTCCCTGAACAGGATTCCGTCAAAGGACAGTTCCCTTTTCAGGTCCTTGCTTGATTTTTGGCAGCCCAAAAGTCACAACCTGTCAAAAGGTAGCCTTGCACAAGTGGGTCATAGGTGATCCTCCCCCCCCCCCAGAGTTCCCCGCCTGAAGATTCGGGAGCTGCATGTGGCTCTCCATCGCGCGAAGCACCACCTGGATGCCCCCGCGCATGTAGATGTCCTCTTGGCCTCGAAAGTTGGATAGAACTCCGGAGATCGTGGCTACCCCACATAGCTTTCAGCAACTGAGAAACACCAAGCACATCCGAATCCGGCGACATCATGTTTTGTCTGGATGGCTTACCGGAAAATCCGGTAGGTTGCAACTTTCTGTGAACCCAAGGCCCCTTTAACGCGGCAAACTAGTCGAGGGGATGGTCAACTCTGGTATCAAAGAAAGGATGTCTAACCCCAGTTGCCGAAAGGCAAAAATCATGGTACGCCCAATTTCAGATTTCCGGCTTCTGTTTCACGTCTCAGAGTCTCAGACCCATGATTAGGCTTCGGATTCTGCAACTCAACCTTAAATCAGCTTCCCTCTAATTGGTGATTTGGATTGGTGGCTTGGTGATTTTGCAGGGGTTTCCCATGTACATCATGTACCTTCTACAAAAGCCAACGCTTCAACTCCCCAAATCACCAACCCAAACCACAAATTAAGGGATACCTGAATACATATGAAACACGTTGTGATTCTCCAAGGCGCTCTCCGCGTTGTAGGCCGCCAACTCCTTCAAGGCTCGGCAGCCCAGCTCCTGCGGCTCCCATCCAAAATTGGCAAAAAAACAACAAAAACGCGGCTTCCCTGGACAAGGTCACTGGCAAATGGCAGTTGCTTGGTGGCAACAAACAAACAACTCAACCAGTTGTTCACTTTGATGCAGTTGACTGGGAAATGTTCATGGAATTCCCACCAAGGGGATTTTGCCAGAACGTCATAGCCAGGATGGGAAGGCCCCGCGGATATGCATGTATGAACCCCTAGTTTTGCTGGTTAATTAACCCTTATTGCATCCCAATCGGAAACTAATCCCCATCCATAGTTTCCTTTTGGTGCCCCAAACCATTAGAACAGTTGTGCACGCCACCCCAGGAATCCTGTACATCGGCATCCGGAGAGTTGGCGCGCATCGCGTCAAGCACCGCCTGGCGTTGGGCCGGGTGCTCGGCCCAAGCTGGGCCCCGCTAGGCGCTCAGAGGACCCAGGCATCATGTGGACTCCAATTCATAAACCCCTATCTCCAGGGGTTGATTCCTTGTCCATTCTTTTCAGAGCCATCATTATTTTCAAAAACCATCTATCCATTTTCCCAGTTTTTTGGTGGTTTTCTAGAAAGATCCCTGGAAAGAATGGGGAAGTTTCCCCTGGACTTTCTGTTTTTTGATATTGGGGATGTTCTCCCCCAAAAGTTAAAGCCAGGGAAACTCGCATTGTGCTGAACAGGAGTTTATTAATCTGGGGTCAACATTGACAACCTGGAGCACCCATTGTAGCACAAATTTGTGACCATACTGTGTGGATGAACGAAATCCTGCACCCTGGAATGATGATTCCGCTATAAATACTAACGAACAATGGTCTCACATGGTGTCAAAGTGGCTCAAGATTTCGTCCGCCGCGTGTCTGGGCGCATGTCGGGCCTGGGCAGCTCCGGACTTGGCCACCGCCCTCAGTGACTGGTAAATGGATTGGACAACTCGTTTGGTCCCTCCATGGACCAAACAAATCTGCCGGATGTGGCACAAATTTTGCTTCTTGTGTTGAATGTGGTTCAAAATCTAACCACTTAACTGCGAAAAAATGACCTTTTTTGCTCCCCTTCCAACGTCAACCAGGTTTGGGGAGGAGCCGGGTTTTGGATGCATGAGCATCTGCAGGAAACTTTTATAGCTGATAGCATTTGTAGAACATGCATGATCACCCTGAAGGTTCCAGGGAACTTGTTTTATGGTAGCTGGTATTGGCTACCTATGGCAAATGGCGATCCAGTGGATTCTTGTAAGCCTCCAAGCGAGAGCAAGCGTAACGACCCCTATCCAACCAGTGTCCATTACAGGCTGCTTCCCTTGGGAACCACTCTACAGCAAACTTGATCCACTGGGGCAGGTTTGCTGTGTCTAGCTGAAGAATCGTATGTCTAGCTGAAGAATCGAAAGCAGGCTTCATTTAGCGGGGCTTGCTCAGATTGACGAGTTCTGCTCATACGAACACACTTTGCTGATTACCTGCGTGTGCAAGTATTGTGTTGATGTGTTGAATCCGTGGTTCAAATGCATGCTTGATCATGCTTGGTATTGACTTGACGACATAGTACGGTACAATTCCCACATGCACATTGCCCTCTAGGTCTAAGCCCTACGCACCCGTATTGTGACATCGTGCACATTAGTACACCAGCAAGTCCAAGGGCAAAATAAGTTGCTCTCTTTCTCTCCCTCTCCCCCCCCTTCTCTCTCTCTCTCTCTCTTTCTCTCTCTCTCTCTCTGTCTCTGTTCTTTTTCTTTCTCCATCGTTTTCTCTTTCTGACGCTTGATTAGGAGCCTCGCCGTCGTTTCTTTTGTTTTGCGGGGTTATGTGGTTAGCGCCCAGGTCCATCAGTGTTTTTCTGCTGCCATTGCCGGCTCCTAAAGTTGGGCTTTTCGGGTGGTAACCAAATTGCTCAAAGGTTACTTCTCCCTTTTCAGGTCACTTTCCAAGTTTGATTTTCGAAAAACGAACAGAACCCAAGACAAACGCCATGTTTTTGCTGAGAAACGGTCGATTTGCTTAGCATAAGAACAGTAAAAAGGAGCCGGCGAGGCCCCTGAGGCCCCACTTAAAGTTCACTGTGAGGCGGTATATGAGGAACGTGAGACCGATGCCCTGTGTTGATGAAAAACACGCTTGCCATCGACCAAGACACTGGGTCGATTGGATGGGGCTGGTAACGCATAAGTTCTGCTTAGAGATTCGCCCTGTGTTAAAGACCCTCATGGTTTCACGCTGTGCCGCATGCAGCTGTTCCCTAAGTTTCATTTCCAGGGCTCATTCTGCTTGAGGGAAATCCCAGGATCCGATCCCCAAGGGCAAGGAATCGCGACCCCCCCCATTTCAAGGGCACAAAGGCCCACATGGGGCCACCTTGGGGGTTTTGCAAACGAGGCCTCGCACAATTGTGCTGAGAACATCATAGATTTGGCTCAACGTGCCAAAACGCGAATCCCTGCGCTACTTCCGCTGCAAACGTGCCCTTGACATGGACAGGCCATGTCACATAGCCGCCACACAGATTAATGCAAGCCCAGGTTCTCTTGACACTGGGGGTCGTGCTTGGCAACGTTGCAAAGGATTTTGCACCCAGTCGCCTGCAATTCTGCCTGGGCAAGGCTCAAAACGTAATTCCTCCGACTGGGAAGCCGGATCGCTTGCAACCACTTGCTATAATATGATATATATATATATATATGGTAAGGAGTTGGATCTGCCACGAGTCAACTCATGGCCTTGGAAAGCCTTGCGCTATGACTTGAGTCTCCGAACCCTAGGATACCACACCGATGTTCTGCGTCACTGTAGGGCGTGCCTTTTCTCGGGTTCCCTTTGTAGGCTCGTTTCCAGGCAACTTAAAGGTTGTCTATTTCCGATTTTGACGCATGCCGGTGTCTCGAGATTGTTTTTCCCGCGAACCACAAGCGAAACCACTCATTTTGGAGTGTTGTGTTGTGTTGTGTTGTGTTGTGTTGTGTGGTGTGGTGTGCTGTTGCGTTGCGTTGCGTTGCGTTGCCTGCGTGCCTGTGTGCCTGTGTGCCTGTGTGACTGTGTGCCTGTGTGCCTGTGTGTCTGTGTCTGTCTGTCTGTCTGTCCTGTCTGCGCGCGCGTGTGCGCGCGTGCGCGTGCGCGCGTGTGCGTGTGCGTGTGCGTGGGCGTGGGCGTGGGCGGCGGGGAGGTTGTTTTGTTTTGTTTGTGTGTGGGTGCGTGGTGCGTGGTGCGTGGTGCGTGGTGCGTGGTGCGTGGCGCGTGGCGCGTGGCGCGTGGCGCGTGGCGCGTGGCGCGTGGCGCGTGGCGCGTGGCGCGTGCCCGTGGGCGTGTGTCTGTGTGCGTGTGTCTGTCTGTGTGTCTGTGTGTCTGTGTGTCTGTCTGTCTGTCTGTCTGTCTGTCTGTCTGTCTGTGTCTGTCTGTGTCTGTCTGTGTCTGTCTGTGTCTGTCTGTGTCTGTCTGTGTCTGTCTGTCTCTGTCTGTCTCTGTCTGTCTCTGTCTGTCTCTGTCTGTCTCTGTCTGTCTCTGTCTGTCTCTGTCTGTCTCTGTCTCTCTCTGTCTGTCTCTGTCTCTCTTTGTCTGTCTCTGTCTCTGTCTGTCTCTGTCTCTCTCTGTTGTCTGTCTGTCTGTCTGTGTCTGTCTGTGTCTGTCTGTGTCTGTCTGTCTGTCTGTCTGTCTGTCTGTCTGTCTGTCTGTCTGTCTGTCTCTGTCTGTCTGTCTCTGTCTGTCTGCCTGTCTCTCTGTCTGTCTGCCTGTCTGTCTCTCTCTCTCTGTCTGTCTGTCTGTCTGTCTGTCTGTCTGTCTGTCTGTCTGTCTGTCTGTCTGTCTGTCTGTTTATCTGTCTGTCTGTCTGTCTGTGTCTGTCTCTCTGTCTGTGTCTGTCTCTCTGTCTGTGTGTCTCTCTGTCTCTGTCTGTCTCTGTCTATGTCTCTGTTTCTGTCTCTGTTTGTCTCTGTCTGTCTCTGTCTGTCAGTGTCTGTGTCTGTGTCTGTGTCTGTGTCTGTGTCTGTGTCTGTGTCTGTGTCTGTCTCTGTCTGTCTGTCTCTGTCTGTCTGTCTCTCTCTGTCTGTCTCTGCCTGTGTGCGTGTGTGCGTGTGTGCGTGTGTGTGTGTGTGTCTTGAGGCTTGGCACCCTTTTTGGGAAGCCAGAAGGAAACCCGAAGCCATTTTTGGGCCGAAATTGCCCAAGTCCCTAGTTTGACACAGCGATTTGTTGAGGCATACCCCCAGACAGGGCTCCCTATATACGTCCACCTTGAAATTCACCCCGCCAAGGGGAACTCATCTAAAAGCGGCCAAACAAATCGCCGGCCAAAAAAGATAAATATAGGGAGCCCTGACATTTTCCTGGTCCCATGCCTGGTTTGGCTCCTGCACCATGGCCTGTACCACCGCAGCGATGCCCGGTGCATCCACGGAGATGTTCGAGCCCGTCATCCTCGACTCGACACTCCGACCACCGGCCCTCCCCCCACTGCGGCTTGAGAAGACTTTTTTGGCGGGGGAGGGGGGGGGTTCAAAGGCAATCAAAACGCAAACAGCCGTGTCCAGGGTGCACTGATGACACATAGTGGCCTAGTCAAGCCAATAGAATTTCGCGGGCAATGGAAGTCCAGCTAGAAATCGGTTGGGGGCTGCTTGGAGGTCCATCGTCTCCTGAATAGGGAGGTCCATCCTTACAATGGTAATTCTGTCTCCTTTGGCACCCCCTCATACAAACCATATAGAGCTATTGTGCCCCCCTGTTGTAAAAACACAAAATCAGGGTCACAAACTGGAAGTGTCCTTTTGCAACTTTTGCCGTTGCCATCCTTTCGACCGATTGGATTGGGCCAAGGGATGCCGACTCCATTCCCATTCCCCGATTCGGCTGGGGCGCTTCTCCAGGAGTTGGAGCCACGGCAGTCCGGGACCCTTGTGGCGATCAAGTATCTGTACCTCGTGATCGAAGATGGGAGCAAACTGCCAGCTTCTCCCTGGCAAGTCTAGTGACCCTTGTATAACCGGCGGAATCCTTTTTGAGACATTGACAGTGCGATGCATGCCGGACAAAGCAGATGTGCAAATCTGCACGAAATCACCCCTGGAGCACTGCTAATCAAAAGCCGCCTTTGCGTCGTGGGTTCGCGTTGCTGGTTTCATTACGCGATCACCCTACCATCAACAAAAAAGGAGTCAATCAATGACGAGCCTGCCGAAAACACAAAACAAACAAAACAAGTCCTGTCCCCCTATTAAAACGGTCCCCCCCCTCCCACCCCCCCTTTAATACTAAGAGGAAGTGATTAATGCAACAAAAAAGCCGAAGGCAAAGTTTGCAGAAGCCAGGCCCTCTGAGTTTGGGACAAAAGTCGGCCGAGCTGCAACAAGAGCCACGCCCCCGAACCGTGCCACCT